GTGCGCCCTCGTGCGCCCTCGAGCGCCCTCGTGCGCCCTCGAGCCGCCCCTGCAGGTCCGTCAGGCCCCCGAGCCGCCTCTGCAGACCCGTCAGGCCCCCCCCGAGCCGCCTATGCAGGCCCGTCAGGCCCGAGAGCCGCCCCTGCAGACTTGTCAGGCCCGCGCGCAGCCTCTGCCCGACCGCGCGCCGCCCCTGCAGGCTCTCGCCGCCCGCCGCGTCGCCCTGCCCGCGGCGTCGCCGCCTGCCCGCGGCGTCGTCACCTGCCCGCGACGTAGCCCCTGCCCGCGGCGTCGTCGCCTGCCCGCGGCGTCGTCGCCTGCCTGCGGCGTCGTCGCCTGCCCGCGACGTAGCCCCTGCCCGCGACGTCGTCGCCTACCCGCGGCGTCGTCGCCTGCCCGCGGCGTCGTCGCCTGCCCGCGGCGTCGTCACCTGCTCGCCGCGTCGCCCTGCCCGCGGCGTCGCCACCTGCTCGCGGCGTCGCCCTGCTCGCGGCGTCGTCACCTGCTCGCCGCGTCGCCCTGCTCGCGGCGTCGTCACCTGCTCGCCGCGTCGCCCTGCCCGCGGCGTCGTCACCTGCCCACCGCGTCGCCCTGCCCGCGGCGTCGCCACCTGCCCGCCGCGTCGCCCTGCTCGCCGCGTCGCCCTGACCTAATCCGCGCCTGGCCTCTGGAGCAGCCGCCTCTGCAGCAGCCGCCCCTGGCCACTGGAGCAGCCGCCACTGCAGGAGCCGCCCCTCGCCCCTGGAGCAGCCGCCCCTGGCCCCTGGAGAAACCACCGCTGCAGCAGCCGCCCCTGGCCCCTGGAGCAGCCGCCACTGCAGCAGCCGCCCCTGGCACCTGGAGCAGCTGCCGTCGCAGCCCGGCCTCGCCCTGCAGCAGCTGCCGCGGAGCTCCGTGCTGCGGCCCGGCCCCGCCCTGCAGTTGTAGCGGCCCCGCTGTCGCCACCGTCTTGCGCCTGCCGCGCCGACCACTGGTGAGCATTGCCCTGCCAGCACTGCTACTGCTGCTACTGCTGCTACTGCCTTTTCTACTCCCACTGCTACTGCTCCTGTTGTTACTGCTGTTACTGCCGCTACTGCTGCTACTGCTGCTCCTGGCGTGGCCAGATGCAGCTCCAGGGCTGTGCGCGTGAGTCCCTCACGCCCCAGCAGCTTCGTGAGTGGTACGCTAGTTGGGGCTGTCGGGGTGGCCGTAGTGGTAGTCGCTCTGGAGTGGGTCGGTCGGGAGCTTCTGGTAGTGGACAGGTGCAGCTGCCGTGTCCTCTTTCGCCCCAGCAGCTTCGTGCGTGGTACGCTAGTTGGGGCTGTCGGGGTGGCCGTAGTGGTAGTCGCTCTGGAGTGGGTCGGTTGGGAGCTTCTGGTAGTGGACAGGTGCAGCTGCCGTGTCCTCTCTCGCCCCAGCAGCTTCGTGAGTGGTACGCCAGTTGGGGCTGTCGGGGTGGCCGTAGTGGCAGTCGCTCTGGAGTGCGTCGTTCGGGAGCTTCTGGTAGTGGACAGGTGCAGCTGCCGTGTCCTGTGAGTGAGGCTGCCGCTCTAGGTGCTAGTGCGTCTGTTGCCCTAGGTGCTGGTGAGGCTACCACTCCCGGTACTCGCGTGTCTGCTACCCCAGGTGCTGGTGAGGCTGCTGCTCTAGGTGCTCGTGAGTCTGCGCCCCCTGGTACTGAGTCGACTGAGGCACTGCACACCTTCACTCTGGACTCAGGTGCTTCTCGCTGTTTCTTTCGTGACCGCACTGCCCTTGAGCCGCTTGCTCGGCCAGTTGCTGTCTCCCTCGCTGACCCCTCTGGGGGTCCGGTCATTGCGACCTCCTCCACTGTCCTTCCTTGTCCTGCGGTCCCGTCGGGCACACTGTCAGGTCTCCACCTCCCCTCGTTCTCTACGAACTTGGTGGCGGGTTGTGCGCTCCAGGACGGGGGTGTTCACCAGTTCACCCCTGCCTATGAGCGCGTGACACACTGCACGTGTGCTCGGACGGGCCGTCACCTGGCTACCTTCACTCGGCAGCCGGGGTCGGACCTGTACACACTGACCACTGAGTCCCCTCAGATAGCTGCGTCTGCGTCTGCGTCAGGTCAGCTGTCGGCCCCCTGCTCGTCTCGCTCTCTGGCGCACGAGACCGTCCTCTGGCACCACCGACTTGGTCACCCGTCCGTGCAGCGCCTTCGTGCCATGCACAAACGGTACCTTGTCTCTGGTCTTCCCAGGGTTCTCTCTCCCCTCCTACCCTCGCCTGCTCCTCCCTGTCTTCCCTGTGTCGAGGGGCGGCAGCGCGCCGCTCCTCACTCCTCCTCGTTTCCCCCGACGACTGCTCCCTTGCAGACGCTCCACATGGACGTGTGGGGCCCAGCCCGCGTCCGTGGTCAGGGTCAGGATAGGTACTTCCTGATAGTTGTTGACGACTACTCGCGCTACACCACGGTCTTCCCCTTGCGCACCAAGGGTGAGGTCCCTGATGTTTTGATCCCTTGGATCAGCGCTTCTCGTCTCCAGCTCAGCGAGCGTTTCCACTCGGACTTTCCTGTCCTGCGCTTGCACTCTGACAGAGGTGGTGAGTTCTCCTCCGACCTCTTGGCAGCCTACTGTGCAGAGCACGGCATCCGCCAGTCGTTCACGCTTCCGGCCTCTCCACAGCAGAATGGGGTTGCTGAGCGCCGCATTGGCTTGGTCATGGAGGTCGCTCGTACCTCCTTGATCCATGCGGCTGCCCCCCACTTTCTGTGGCCGTTTGCAGTCCGATACGCTGCGCATCAGCTCAACCTCTGGCCCCGTGTCTCCGTTCCGGAGACTTCGCCGACACTGCGTTGGACAGGAGAGGTTGGCGATGCGTCACGCTTTCGGGTCTGGGGATCTCGAGCCTTTGTTCGCGATACGTCCGCGGACAAGCTCTCCTCCCGCGCTGTTCCTTGTGTCTTCCTTAGCTTTGTCCCGGACGCGTCTGGTTGGCAGTTTTACCACCCCACCTCGCGCCGTGTCCTGCCTTCTCAGGACGTCACTTTCGACGAGTCCGTCCCCTACTACCGCCTCTTCCCCTACCGCACTGCCCCGCTTCCCCCCCCGCCTCTCTTCCTCGCGCCAGGTGCTGCTGTGGTAGACCCCCTCCCCCCTCAGGGTGCCGCTCCCTCAGGTGTGTCCCAGGTAGACCCGGTTGAGCCTGTCGAGGTAGCTGTCGACTCTCGTCCTGCTAGGGGTGCTGAGCCTGAGGGTGCTGAGCCTGAGCGTGCGGAGCCTGGGGTTGCGGAGTCTGGGGGTGCTGAGCCTGGGGGTGCGGAGCCTGGGGGTGCTGAGCCTGCGGGTGCTGAGTCTGGGGGTGCTGAGTCTGGAGGTGCTGAGCCTGGGAGTGCTACACCTGGAGGAGCTCTCTCCTCACAGCAGCTGCGTGAGTGGTACTTACAGTACTGCAGCCTCAAGAGAGGTGCTTCTGGAGCCAGGAGTACTGCTGGAGCTGGTGCTAGTGCTTCCCCTCCTAGGCGGGAGCTGCCCTCTCCCCAGCGGCTCCGAGAGTGGTACGCACGGCGCTGCAGTCTTCGGAGTGGCGCTCCTAGTGTCGCGGACCCAGCTGCTGGAGGTTCTGCTGCTGGCGGTGCTTCTGGCGCTGCTGGAGGTACTGCTGGTGCTGGAGCTGCTGGTGCTGCTGACGCTATTGGAGGTGCTGCTGGTGCTGGTGGTACTGCTGGTGCTGCTGGAGCTGCTGGAGGTGCTGCTGGTGCTGGGGCTGCTGGAGCTGCTGGAGGTGCTGCTTCTTCTGGAGGTGCGGCTGGTGCTGCGGACCCGGGCGTTGGAGTTGCTGCTGGTGCTGCGGACCCTGGAGTCGGAGCTGCTGCTGGTGCTGCGGACCCTGGAGTTGGAGCTGCTGCTGGTGCTGATGACCCTGGAGGTGGAGCTGCTGCTGGTGCTGAGGACCCTGGCGCTGGTGTCTCTGCTGGTTCTAGAGACGCTGCGCGGCCGCGGCCGTACTTCGTTCCGCTCCTTCAGCAGGTTCTTGGTCAGCCTCCTCCTCCTTGTCCTCCTCCGTCCTTAGAGTGTCCTCCGTCTGTCCAGTCGCAGTCACAGTTACCGTCTGACTCCCCTCTCCCTGGTCCTTCTCCTTACACTGGTCCGACTGGAGGTCTTACGGAGCGTCGTGAGCCTGAGTCTCGTCCTGCGTCGCCTGAGTCTCGTCGAGCGTCGCCTGTTCGTGCTGCTCACACTGGTCGTCGTGTCCCGCGTCAGCGTCCTCCTGCTGTCCCAGGCACTCACCAGATGGCGCTTCGTCCTTCCACTGCTCCCCAGCGTGTCCCTCTCCCGTCTCCTCCTGCGTCCTCTCTTCCTGCTCTTGCTGACCCTGAGTCTGACTCCCTTCGTGCTGCCAGTCCTACTGTCACGCGTCTCCTGGCTACTGTTGTCACTGACCCTTCCTTTGAGTCCACTGCTGCGTCTGCCTTAGTTGCCGAGCTTGTCGACTTTGCTGCCACTTGTCGTCTAGACTACGCCGCTAGCCTAGTTGCTGAGTCTGAGTCTTTCTGTCCTCCGTCCGTCGGGGGTGAGTGTGCTCTTGGCACGGACGTCCTTGAGGACAGGCAGGAGGAGTTTGAGTGCTTTGCCGCTGCTTTACCTCATCTCGTGTCCATGCTGCTTGCCCCTGAGGGAGACCCGGATGCACCAAACATCCCGACTCCGCGCTCTTACGCAGAGGCGATAGAGGGTCCCTACTCCTATCAGTGGCAGACAGCCATGGACGCAGAGATGGCTTCCTGGAAGTCCACAGGCACCTACGTCGACGAGGTTCCCCCACCTGGGGCGAACATCGTCAGTGGCATGTGGATTTTCAGGGTGAAGCGGCCGCCGGGTTCTCCGCCTGTCTTCAAGGCGCGTTACGTTGCACGAGGCTTCAGTCAGCGAGAGGGAGTTGACTTCTTCCAGACCTTCTCCCCGACCCCGAAGATGACCACTCTTCGGGTTCTGCTGCACGTCGCCGCTCAGCGTGACTACGAGCTCCACTCTCTTGACTTCAGCACTGCTTTCCTACAGGGCAGCCTGCACGAGGAGATCTGGCTGCGCCGCCCACCTGGCTTCACTGGGTCCATCCCACATGGCCTCTCGCCCTCTCTCCCCTTCACTCCCTGCCCCCCCGGCCACCTCCCCTGCTGCTGCTCCTCTGCCTGCACCGCTGGCATCGCCAGCTGCCTGCCCGCCTACCCCAGGGGGTGAGGCAGGGGCAGGCGTGAGAGTGAGTGGGAAGAGGAGCAGGTCCGTGAGGAAGAGGAGGAGAGAGGGAGGGGAGGGGAGTGGTGGGGGAGGCGGTGAGGTGAGGGCGGGAGACAGCAGCGATGGCGATGGCGATGGGGATGGGTGTGCTGGCAGTGCGGGAAGTGCTGGTGGGGTGCAGCGCAGCAAGGCAGCAGCAGAAGAACAAGCTGCTGTGCTGCTATCAGCTGAGTTAGCCGCCGTCGCTGCTGCAGCAGCAAGCACAGCAGGAAGCAATGGAGTAACCGCAACAGGATCCACACGAACAACCACAGCAAGCATACGAGCAACAGCAAGAGCGCCTCAAGATGATACACTCGCGAGCCGTGGAGACACATCACAGGTATCCTGCCCTGCCACCAAAGCTACCACCACAGCTATTACCACAGCTGCCACCACAGCTGCCGCCACAGCTGCCACCACAGCTACCACCATAGCTGCCACCACAGCTGCCACCACAACTGCCACCACAGCTGCCACCACAGCTGCCACCACAGCTGCCACCACAGCTGCCACCACAGCTGCCACCACTGCTGCCACCAAAGCTGCCGCCACAGCTACCACCGCAGCTGCCACCACAGGTGCCACCACAAGTGCCACCGCCGGTACCACTGCAGACCGCATCTCCAAACTCTCAACATTGCCCCTCAAGCAGCCCGCTCTCTCCTTCCCGGTCCTCAAGAAGCGGCGCAGCGACCGACCCAAGGCAGGTGCTGTCAGCACGGCCGAGCCACCTTGAGCTCTTGCTGCCACACACACTCCTGCTCCTCCCAACGCACCTGCTCACTGCGCTGTTGGCTCCACTGCTGCAGCAGCTGCTGCTGGCACAGCAGCTGGCACTGCTGCCTGCTCTGTTGGTACCACTGTCCCCTCTACTGGTATGACTGCCAGCTCGACCGCCAAGGTTGCCAGCTCAGCAGCCAAGGTTGCTAGCTCAGCAGAAAAGGTTTGCTGCCTAGAAGGGAAGGGCGGTGAGGGTCAAAGGAGGAAAGGCAGGGGAGATAGCCAAGATAAGAGAAGTGGAGACAGGGTGCGGGCGATTGAGAGTGCCATGCCAGGCACACGCACAGCAGGCCAGGGGAAGATGAGCCCTCGGCCACATGAAAGCGCAACAGCAGGCCAGGGGAAGATGAGCCCTCGGCCACATGAAAGCGCAACAGCAGGCCAGGGGAAGATGAGCCCTCGGCCACATGAAAGCGCAACAGCAGGCCAGGGGAAGATGAGCCCTCGGCCACATGAAAGCGCAACAGCAGGCCAGGGGAAGATGAGCCCTCGGCCACATGAAAGCGCAACAGCAGGCCAGGGGAAGATGAGCCCTCGGCCACATGAAAGCGCAACAGCAGGCCAGGGGAAGATGAGCCCTCGGCCACATGAAAGCGCAACAGCAGGCCAGGGGAAGATGAGCCCTCGGCCACATGAAAGCGCAACAGCAGGCCAGGGGAAGATGAGCCCTCGGCCACATGAAAGCGCAACAGCAGGCCAGGGGAAGATGAGCCCTCGGCCACATGAAAGCGCAACAGCAGGCCAGGGGAAGATGAGCCCTCGGCCACATGAAAGCGCAACAGCAGCGGCAGCAGAGGGTGTGACAGTTGGCAGTGCGTGGCAGCATGGAAGAGCGAGTGAGAGTGAGAGTTTGGGGCGAGAGGGTGCAGCAGGTGGTGCAGAAGGTGGGAGCAGGGGAGGCGGGGTGGTGGAGGGAGGGGCGGGTAGCGGAAGGCGGTCGGTGCGCAGCACAGCAGGCCGGCACCCTGGCTTCGATGGCTTCCTGCTGCTGCCCCGCATCCCAAGATGACGGCATGTTTGGCATGGAGTGCGTGGCGAGGCGCAGCGTGGCGTGCACACAGCGGTGCCAGAGTAGCATTCACAAGCAGATGTGTGATTGATGGTATGGCTACTGCAGGCCGTGCACATGCAGACTGACTAACCTTGTTACGGCGAGGCTGGAAGCACAGGATGGCTGAGCAGGCAGTGAAAGAAGGCTTCAAGCCACGCATGTGCAACGGAGGAGAGGGAGGCGGTGGTAGTGTCCTTGGCTGCTCGAAGGGAAAGTAATGTTGTTGGTGGAAGGGCTGCAGAAAGGGTTAAACTTAAACAGGTGCGATTGGTTGATGGTATAGGTGAGAGAGGCCAGCAACAGGAGGTGTGGGGATGGTGGATGTTGCTCATCTGCCTCTCTTGATGTAGGTGGTGGCACGCTCCAAGGTCATATTTTCTGACTGTTTGATTTTGCTAAAATCAGAAAGTGATTGTAACCAGGATCACCTCAGGAAGGTTCGCACGCAGAGAAGTGATGTTGGTGGGCCCTTGAACTCAATAGCAGAGTGAATGTAAAATGCTTTGAGATAATAAACACGTGCAGTACAAGGAATATAAATATGAGTACAGGGGAATTCGAAAGGACCTAACTAGCCATGTACTCTAAGGGGTACATTCCCTTATTGCATCGAAATCCAACCGTGCGACTCCGAGTGGTTACGTAACTGTTCGGGCAGAATCCTCGCCACTGCTTCTGCCCAGGCCCTACGATATCAGGAATTTTCCCCTGAAATTCCTGATTTTCAGCCTAGTTTTGTGTACCTACACTGAATTTTCATTTTTGAGATTTTTGTGACACTGATTTTTTCAGCCTTTACTTCATAGCTAACACTGATGTTTCAGACTTTTATCGAAGTGTACACTGAATGCACATTCCGAATCCTTCCCGTAAAACACCCGAGACAATAAGTCAACCAACATTTCCGCTTCATAAAATCTTTTCTAAAAAATACCAATCGTCGACTCGATGAACTGGCTTAGTGGTTAGCGAAGTAGATACCGATTGATAAGGTTTCCGGTTCGAATCCCTCTACCACCATGTTCTTAAAGCGACGGGCAACTTTTGGCAGTGTTGGGTTCAGAAGTTTTTTTTTTGAACCAGGCTTGCCAGCGCGAAAGTGCTGGCTGGCGAAAACCAGGATTTCGTGCGGACACTTTCCATCCGCAGTAACAGTTCGCCAGGGTTCTGGGTTTTGGGTGGCAAATGTGCACTGTCGCTTTAAAGGCTACTCTCTTGCACAATTGCATGATGTAATTGAAAATTCAGGCTCTTGTTTTCCGGAACCCTGAAAATTCAGGCTTTTTTTTTTAGGAACCCTGAAAATTCAGGCTTTTTTTCACAGGGACCCTGATGCATCAACGTCCCTAAAAGTGAATCTGAGGGCCTGCTGCTGCCTGATGCTGTCTGCCCGACGGTCCAGATGCTCCTCGTAACCGTCTGTCCCTTCGACTTTCTTCTGGCTTTTCGTCTTCACTCTCGATAGTGCGTGCTTCGGCTTTACTACGGTGAGGAGTGCGCAACAGTGTTTTTCATTAACTACTATTCGTAACACCCCCCTTCACTCCTGGCCGTAGCGAGCATTGACCCGCTTGACTACCCCGCTGAGTTCGGAGCAGTGCTGGTACTGCTGACGCGGCAGTCTCTTCGTGAGGAAGTCTGCTGCCATGTCACCCGTTGGGCAGTATGTCAGGTCAACTTTGCCTTTGTCAACTTCGTCCTTGACGAAGAAGTACCGCAGTGCGATGTGCTTGGTGCGGTTGACGAAACCAGGTTTGTTCGCGATCCTGATCGCGCTCTGATTGTCGCAGTGCAGGCGAAAGTTCGTTGAGGCCGGAATTTTTGCTTCCTGCAGCAGTTCCTGAAGGTAGAGACCTTCGCGAACAGCTGCTGTTGCTGCGATAAATTCAGCTTCCGCCGATGACAGGGCAACCAACTCCTGCTTCTGAGAGTTCCAGGAGATGGGGCCGCTGGGCTCGAGGCGGAAGAGGAACCCTGTCCTGGACCGTCGATTGTCAGGGTCAGCGGCGTGATCGGCATCCACGTAGCCGACGAGGCTGAAGGATGTGGTTGGGATGGTGGAATAACTGAGCCCGACATTGGGCGTGGAGATGAAGAATTGAAGGGCTCGCTGAAGATCTGAGAGATTCTCAGCCGTTGGTTTGCGTGAGTACTGAGCCAACTGGCTCGCAATGTAGGAGAGGTCGGGCCTGCAGGTAACAGATGCGAAAAGCAGGCATCCCAACTGCTGCTGGTAAGTGTGAAGCCCAGCAGGGGACAGGGCTTTGTTATCAGGCGTCCACTAATGCGTACAGGAACGCATTCTTCACATCGATCTGCCGGAGTGGTAGGTGTCGTGCGGCTGCGATGGCGAGGAGAATTCTGACGGACGTGTGACGGCTGACCGGTGCGAATGTCTGGTCAAAATCAATCCCGTGCCTTTGATCGTAGCCGCGCACCACCCAGCGTGCCTTGAATCGCTCAATCCTTCCGTCGGCTCCTGTCTTCATTCGGAAGACCCATTTGCCGGAGAGAATCCTTCTCCCCTTTATTGCTGCACGGTCGACGAGCACCCAGGTGTCGCGCGACTCGAGTGCCCGGATTTCCGCATCCATTGCTTCGCGCCACTCCTTGCTGTGTGTGCCTGTGAGAGCTTGCCGTGGGTTCTTAGGTTCGATGATGCGCGGAGCAGTGGAGATGGCAGCGTGTAGTCCGAGTAGCTGGAGACCGGTGACAGTGCTGTCGTGGCGATGTTGAGTGACGACTTCCTGCACGTCGTCATCATCGCTTTCTGGTTCAGGCGGTGCTGGCGGTGCTGTGTCTCCGCCGCTTCTGCTTCCTCCTGCTGCGCCTCCTCCTGTTGCGCCTGTTCCTCCTTCACCTGAATCATCGTCATCGTCGTCGTCGTCGTCGCGGCGATCGCCCCTTGTGAACTCGCCTCTGGGATCCTGCTCCAGAATTGCTGCTGCTGCTTCGTCCTCAGGTGAGGCGTAGCTGTGGCCCTCGTTGGCGTAGACGCGGTTTGCATTCGTCTGCTCGTCGTCACGAAATTGTTGCAGAAACAGTCGCTCGTAGAAGATGACATCCCGCGCATTCTTGATTTTCTGGCTTAGGAGATCCAGGATGATCCACGCCTTGTGTTCGTGGCTGATACCGAGATGGATTCCCCAGCGCGCGCGGCTTTTGAACTTCCCGATGGTTGATGTTGGCGGTCAGTATTGAACCATGCAGCCCCAGACGCGGAGCATGGAGGTGTCCCCCTTTCTTCCCGTCCATTTCACGTGCGGCGATTAATTGCCAGTGATTGCGGTGGTTGACAGCAGGTTGTGCACCCGCACGGCGTGGTGCATCGCGTAGGTCCAGTAGATCGGCGGGAGCTTTGCCTGCCGCATTAGCGCCCGTACCTTCGTCATGAGGGTGCGATTCGTGCGCTCCGCTACGCCCTGCTGCTGGTGCGCGTAGGGGAGGGAGATGTGATGCTCGATCCCCTTTTGCGCGAGGTAATCCTGCAGTTCCTTGCTCCTGAACTCCGCCGCACCATCGGACTGCCAAATCTTCAATTTCTCGCCAGATTGCCGCTGCGCGTGCGCCAGCCACAGACGGAATGCTTCGTAGGCTCTGCTACGCGCTTCCACGTTTACGACCCACACGTGGCGCGTTCCGGCGTCGACGAAGGTGAGTGTGTAGAGTTCGTCGTTGATGCCGCAGTGTCCTACGTTGAGAAAGTCACTGTAAACCTTCTCAAGCTTGGCGTAGCGATTGGTTCCTGGCTCGAGTAGGGGGAAGGGCTGGTGACTCAGCGCAGCTTCGGGGCAGACAGTGCAGCTGCGCGGGTGAGTCCCTCCTCTCACTTCGGAGTCGTCAGGGCGCAACAGCGCGCCAGGTGCAAAGACGCCGGCTTCGATGCAATTCTTCAGGGTCACGCGCGAAGGGTGACATAGGCGCTGATGCCAGATGGCGTCGTCGGCGCGGAATCCAGATGTGCGCATGTAGCGCTCCAGTGCGGCTACGGGGTCTTCGTCAGGTGCCGGTGCAGGTGTAGGCGCTGTTCCCCCGTTCTCTTCTTCTTCCTCGTTCGCCGTTGTTAGCATGAGGGCGAGAAATTCTCTGTCGCGGATGATGGAGTAGGGGATGTTGGTTCCGGGGATCGTGCCAAGTACGAACGCCGGTTCGCGTGGTTCAGGGGCAGGTCCGTAGACAGTGCGTCGCGGGGTGAGTGGTTCACTTCCCCAGTCAATGGTGTCCCAGGGGTCACTACCTGAAGGGATGTCAGGCGGCGGTGGTCCTAACGCAGGACGGCGCGGAGGTCGTCCGAGAGGAACAACGGGAGGTTCGACGTCGGCATGCGCAGGTTCTTCTTCCTCTTCCCCCCTTTGATCCTCGCGGAAAGCTCCCCAGCCGCTCGTCTCGCCGCCTTGTGCGGCGCCCCATCCGCCGATGTATGCGCCTGTTGCTGCGCCCCATCCGCCGGTTGCGACGCCCCAGCCGCTGGTGTCGCTCGTTCCCCATCCGCCGGCGCTCCCCCACCCCCCTTCATTGGAGGCGCTTTCCTCGTCCTGCTCCCAGGCGAGCGTTCCGCGTGCCTCGGCGAGGCTCTTCCGCCGAAGCTCTTCGGCTTCCTGTTGCGCCAATGCCTCTTCTTCCGTGGGCGAGAGCCGTTTCTTGGAATCGCGCCGGTGAGAGTAGATCTCTGCCGCCTTTCGTTCGGTGTAGGGCCGGGGATTCCCATGCGCGTCGAAGGTGCCGACGCCAACGCCGCGGAGCATTCCTTGGAGATGCTGGGATGCGGGTCCGGGAAGAGGGTGTTCTGGTGTGCCGAATACGACCCGTGTAGCTGTTTCCAACTCCAGTTGGGAGAGACCCTCTTCAGGCGGTGCATCTCGCTCTGTTTCGCGAATGGCGGCAAGGCCATGGCCGGCGATCGCGCTCGTCGAAGACGTTGGTGTGTGGCAGTTCCTGTAGACGCCGT